GAAGAATTTTTTCCTAATATCTGATCTAAACCTTCCCTAGCACAACTTGAGGCCATTTCCTCTTGTTCTATCGCCCGTTACCTGGGAGAAGAGACCAACACCCTCCTCACTACACCCTCCTTTCAGGTAGTTGTAGAGGGTGATAAGGTCACCCCTCAACCTCTTTTTCTCCAGGCTAAACAACCCCAGTTCCCTCAGCTGCTCCTCAATAAGGCTTGTGCTCCAGACCCCTCACCAGCTTTGTGGCTCTCCTCTGGACATGCTCCAGCAACACGTCTTTCTTGTATTGAGGGGCCCAAAACTGAACATTGTATGTGAGGTGCAGCCTCACCAGTGCCCAGTACAGGGGAAGGATGACTTCCCTGCTCATGCTGGCCACACTATTCCTGATACAAGACAGGATGCCATTGGTCTTCTTGGCCACCTGGGCACACTGCTGGCTCATATTCAGCCGGCTGTCAACCAGTATCCCCAGGTCCTTTTCCGGCAGGCAGCTTTCCAGCCACTCTTCCCCAAGCCTGTAGTATTGCTCGGGGTTGTTGTAAACCTCATATAATTGGCCACAGCCCATTGATCCAGCCTGTCCAGGTGTCTCTGTAGAGCCTTCCTACAATCAATACAATTCCATCCATCTTAGTATCATCTGCAAACTTACTGAGTTTCATTCCCCTCATCCAGGTTGTTGATAAAGATGTTGGACAGAGCTGGCCCTAACACTGAGCCTTGGGGAGCACCACTTGTGACCGGCCTCCACCTGGATTTAACTGCATTCACCACGATGCTTTGGGCCCGGCCATCCAGCCAGTTTTTTACCCAGCAAAGACTATGCCTGTCCAGGCCATGGGCAGCCAGTTTATCAAGCAGAATGCTGTAAGAAATGGTGTCAAAGGCTTTACCAAAGTCCTAGGTATGCTACATCCACAGCCTTTCCCTCATCCACTAGGCAGGTCACCTTGTCATAGAAGGACAAGAAGAGACTATTCTCCCAGCTCCATCCAAAAGACAAAAGATGAAGGACATGAAGCACCTGTAGGAACTGGCATCCAATCCCTCAGGTTTCCAATTCTCTTGATTCCTCAAATTGTATTCAACTGTCTATCCTATTGTCATATCGAGATAGCTTTTTACTCTGTCAGTATTGCTATTTCTTACTCTTTCTTACAGCTTAAAAAAACGGCATTCAAAGCTTGAGCAACATGGCAACAACTGGACACAGCAGTGTTAACGCCGTTGAATAAATAAATCAAGTCTGCCAAGCATCAACCTCACACCAATGGCGAGTAGCAAGAAACCTTATTAATGTCAAACAGTTGTGGCCAGCAGGCAGTAAGTAAGGGAAAGAACAATAGAGCAGAACAAAACCTAGCAAATCCTCTACTACAAGAACTGGCTGTTAAGGATTGTATCACTGGAGACCAATGGTGTCAATATCATTAGCTTACTAGTAGTTCTGGATATTTTTCTCTTTTTATGCACCCTCATAATTTTGTTATTCCTAGCAGATTAACTTACTGAAAGATCACTCTGTCTGTCTTCAGTACATATCCTCCCACACCTTTTTAGGTATTTCGAGACACACATCTTAAACAAGGCTCTTTTTTTTTTTTAAGGTTTCCTTAAGCTGTATAAAAAACCTATGGGACTTGCAGGGAGCAAGTAATACAACAGTATACTGAAAATGCCACACTAGATCTCCTTCAACAGCCTGCCTTCAGCAGTAGCTCTGAGCAGATACCCAGTAGAATAGTAAGAAAGGCAGGCCTAAAGTATTTGGTTTTGGGGGTTTTTTTTGACTGATAGTGTCCAAGGCTCCAAGTATTTTCAGTTTTAAAACTTATTAATCCAGGGGTGTCTCTATCTGTTTAGTCACCCTCAGTGGATCCATGTACATGTCCATTCTCTCTTTGAAACCATGTAAATTTTGAATAGTTAGCACTGTGCTAGCGTAACATAAACTTTTAGATTCCAGGAACTTAATGACTAATGCCGCCAGCAGCAGTGTTCAAACTCGTCTCCTCTCTCAGTTCAGTTCAGTTCAGATCAGCCCATCTATCTCTCTGCAGTCCCTGCAGAGAAGTGACCTTTACAACCCAGCTCTCAGAAAAGCAAGTTTCATTCTTTAGAAATATACCAGATGAAAGTTATTGTAAAATAAAATTTAGTGGAGGATATCCCTGGATCTTGCTACAAAAGCTACATACCACTTTCACCACAAGCTACACCATCTTAATACTGTATTATACTATCAAAAGAGTCAGTGTATTTTTAGGAACGTATTGTAAAGAATTCCAGCAAGTGCTCTTAATGTTCTTTTGTTTGGCAAGTGACATTACCCTCCCTCCATGGTTAAGACAACAAATTACCAGACACCCTAAAGAATGCAACAGTCTAGCCAAACCTAGAAAAACCCACTTTTAACACCAGCAGCCTCGCCAACTACCACTAGTTTCCAACCTCCTCTTCCTTGGCAATGTCTTTGTGAAGGTAGTGGCATCCAAAAGCTAGCAGCACCTATCCCTTGCCAACGCCCTGGCTCCTTGACATACAGGCATCAGACCAAAACATGATAGAAGAACAAACCCTCTTGGCACTGCCAGTCCACGTGCTCCTGGCCTGGGACCGAAAACAAACCTCAGAGTGGATATCCTCTGGGGCTCTGACAGAAGTGACTGCCTGGTTCTAATAATAAAACTCATGTGAAGTTTAATAAGAACAGGACAGCAGCCCTTTTCCCAGACAGCTGAATGGAGTGCAACTCCCTCTCACTCTCCTTCACAGCCCCAGAAGTCCTGTATTCTGCAGTCCCACAAACCTCAACGCTTTCTCTCTGCCAGTTAAACCCAAGACAGCATCACACAGGGAAGCTGAATGATGCTAGTTCATGTATCCTCAAATAGACAGATGACATTCAATTATGCCTCTGTCTCTGCTGAAATGAAGGGTTTCAAGGGATGCAAGGCACAGCTTCCATTTTCTGTCCCCACTTGGCAGCAGATAAAGGAATAATACAGCCAGCAGTGACTCCAAAGCATGAGAAAGTGTTACGCTCAAATTTCAAGCAGAAAGTTTCATGGTGAAACCAGCAACAGATTTCTCTGCTCTCGATCTCCCTCTACGTTCTGGGACACTGGAGTTTGTCAAATATTGGGGCATCTGGTCTTTCCCCACCAGGGTGCCAAAAGAAATCCTACATAGCTTGTCTGCTGCCCTCCCCAGGGCTCTGTTGCTGGCAGCAAAATTACTCCTTGCTGGAGAAGCCCTGAGGTTGAGACTGCGGGTTGGTGAGACTAGAGTCACTAAAGGAAGCGATCCTCACTGGTGAAATATGTACTTCCACATTCCTACCCCAAATGCTAAATGGTACTTTAAAAACAGAATTTTAAAACATGTTACAGGTGAGTTTCCAGACCCTGCCGTCAGCTTCCCAAACCCAGAGGCTACAAAGGATCCTTCAAAATGATGAGGCGTAACCCATTTGGCTTTTCCTGCACCCACAAACAGAGATACTCTAAAACAAAAATAAATATTCTACAGCTAAATGCTCCACGTTTTACAAAACTGCTATTATCTGTGAAGAAATTGTTCAGGCTTTTTTAGGTGTAAATGTGCTGGCTTGGGTTTTTAAACCACTATCCTACATAATTTATGTCACATATTTAATAGAGAAATAAAAGCCTACTCATAACACCCCACACAGTTTGGAGAGAAACAGCATTGAACTCTTTAGCCAAAAGCGATTTCAAGCCTGTATCATCCGTTGGAAAAAAAGAAAAAAAAAGAAAAATCCCATTAAAAAAATCACTTGAAAAAGAGCTTACCATGTTATTTGACTTGTTCTGCCCTCATATCTCTAAAACATACCTGCAATCTTCCGGTATATGTTCCTCATTCTTATATTACAGGAATATGGCTTTTTGTATGATGATCTATGATGGTTCTCCCACTTTTGGGTATTCACATGCAACACACATGATATATTCCACCACATGTAGAAAACACTTTGATTGAATGCAGAGTACAAAACTGTACAGCCACAATGCAGGCTGTTTTCCCTAATGTTTGGACAGATCCAGAAAATATTCGTGTATATGTAACAGACCAGAATCACACGATTATTTCTTGGTTAGAGTGTGGTTCATTTTGCATTTAGAAAAAGAGCAAACTGATTTAGTTGCAGCTTATTTCAGATAGACACTTCTGAAAGCCAAAATGAGAAGATACGGCATGACGATGGTGGCAGGAGGCACTCCTTGCTCATTAGGAAGTGTTAGTATGTCTGTCACACTTGTTTGTCTTACCACGATAAAATTCATAAAATAATAAATATTTGCAATATTTACTAGCACAGCCTAATGGATTAGAAGGATAACTCCACAAAAACACAAAGAACCTTTGGTCTAAACAGTGTGGAATGGCAAAATCTGGGTTTGATCTTCTCTTGAATTTTTATTTTTAGAGAATCCCTGAAAGGACTGTTTACACTGACATGTCTCTCAAAAAAATTCCTAATGTCACTAGCATGACCCATTAACAATGTGTTCAAAAACTGCTCCGAGCTGATATGAAAAATATAAAAATTTAACATATTTGCATTTTATAATGCAAGTATAAAATAAAAGTAAAGAAGCTGGTAGCTCAGGTCACAGACTTTCAAGGTAGGTCAATTGTGTTTTGTCTGAGATAAAAGAATAATTGTAGCATTTGAAGATTTTTATAAAAGTAAAGTTATTTGGGCTATTGACTCCTTACTCCTCTGCCCATTCCCACTTCTAAAAACCATAAACTGAAAGAAAAAGTTCTTAGATAAAATGAATGTTGATGAAACTACAATTGAGGGATTGCCAGTTTAAAAGAACTAAAGTAATCACAGCTTGTCCTGATTATATGTACTTACCAGTGCAAAACAGGTTACCAATCAATTATGCTCTCTTTAACTATTAACAGTAGTGTCTTTGTTCTCAAACAATGTTAGATGCACATGTTCTGGAACTTATATTTACCTGGTGGATTCTTGGCAGGATCATTGTGGCTTGGACTTCCTGGTTGTCCAGAATCTATAAAGAAATGAAAGAAATGTTTTACTAATTTGTTTTGAAAGTATCTCACAACCTTTTAATACCCTTCTTCAATATCAAACTAATACTTAACTTTGTTCTTTAAAGGTCATTTCCCTGACTTTCTACATGAAGGCATTATTGAACAAACACTCTATATGTAACCCACTTTATGAAGAAGCAGAAACATTGTGAAAGGTGCAATGATCCTAACAAAAGAAACTCATAGATCACTGAATAAGGACAAAAGATTCATTTGGGTAAATACTCAAGTTATAAACTTATCTACAAGGGTACCTTTTCATTCCCTTTCCCTCCATCCCCCAAATATAATATTGCATAATCAGCAAAGCAGAGGTAGTTTTTCTCAGGCAATGACCAGAAAGACATACTGGACCAGGCAACTAATGGCGTTAGCAGTAATGAGTCCTGTTTATTTATGTTTTTCTTAAAGCACAAAGGCCTACACCACTTCCACAGACTCAGGACTGCTCTGAAGATACAACTGTCCCTTTTAATACAATATAGGCTTTGTGTTCCTAGTCTGTGAGAATCACTGTTGTGAAATGAAGATTACGTAACACAAAAACTAACAAAACCCAAACCCTGCAGACTTCAGAGAGTGTTCTTTTTGTGATACATCCACCTAATGAATCAAGAGAGGAACAAAATTTGATGATAATACTAATTAATAAATCATATCCTTATTCATAAAAACAGCTGCTTTTAAAACTGTCTACTTTTTGCTGTACTCCCACACCAATAATATAACAAAACCCTGCTCCACTGCAAGAAATTGTTACTAACAGAGACATGAGAGACACTCCTGTATGAAAAGAGAATAAGAAATGAGAAGCACAATAATTTGTTCTGTATATAGGTATTTAAAATGGAGCAGTTTTACAGTCTGAATAAAAAATATTGATTTTTTTTAAATGTAGCAGTGCTTGTATCATAAGATCACCAAAAAAAATTGCATGATAGCACTACAGAAAATGCTACTGGCAAATGGACCCAGAGGGAAGTCAGAGTTCTTGTCCAAATTAAAGAAAAAAGAAAAGGAGAAAAGTACATGTCAACAAATACTTGTCCTTCAATCTCCATCACTTCTTCTTAAAGCCAATGTAGCCCTCAACCTAGAATGAGAGATTGCCTCCACCTGCTACAAGAAGTTCACTGAAATCTGTTGCCATCTGTTATGTAGCTTAGCAAACATGGCCTGACACACATGTGTCTCAAGCAGTTTAAGTTAACACAAGCTTGACTCTACAGAAATGTTATCTGAGATGGAAATCCATTTCACAGTTCAAGTACTGCTGAATTCATCTGAATGACGGTTGTCAGAGAAGACAAGCATCTGGGGATCTACCAGAGTACTGGAAGACCAAGGCACATGTGAAACACAGTTCCAATGGTATTAAAAGCACAAAAAATTATCCAATACTGAATGAAATCACTCTTGCACACAAATAAATACACACTAGATACCGAATTTCACATGAAATTTCCTCTTATCTTCTTCGACCCTGGGTAGGAAGAATGAAGGGCAGGCCTCTGAGTCAGATTCTGCACAGCTTTGAACACTTGGGTACTCTTAAGAATCCCACTGTACAGCACAATATGTAGCCATTCAGCATGTCTGTTCCTTTTCATGAAGATACAGCACATCCCTTTAAAAAATCAAATCAAGTTAATTTGAAAACTCAATCAGCTATAAGAAATGCTAAAAATATGATGCTTCTCTGCATATGGACCTTTATATGGACAAATGTCCTTTTTCCTGTGTTGCAATGGGAAGGTTCACCCTGCAGGAGGTGAACTTTAATATTCTTCTAATAGCATTCTCTGCTTCTGCAAACTACACATATTATTATTTAAATTAAGATTATAAGAGAGGATTAATTTTACACAGCAATGGTCTGAGTGTAAAACTACTGCAGATGCGTGGCTAAATGAAATGTCAATTTGGTAGCAGATGCACCCAGTAAAGCTTGGCCAGTGTCGCTTGGGGAACACAGAGATTTGAAACTGGATTAATGAGGCCTACCAGAAAATAGCCTTTGAAGTTTTCTCCTGTTAAAATTCACTAAAAAGATGCACAAAGTGAAGAATATTTTTTAGCTCTTGCACAGCAATTTGCCTTTACTCCTAATTTCTCATTGTCAACATGGCCACTTTCTGGATCCAGGATTTGAAGATCAACAGGAGTTTAAACAATCTTTTTTCATATTATAGTAAGATAAACTTAGCAAAGAATTTTCCAGTTATAAGGATAATCAGTTGGCTAGTTATTACAATTTGTCAGTCAGACTTAGCTTTGTTTTATGTTAACTATTCATCAATCATGATTTTTACAGATTGATTCTCAGACAGTGATTTGAGTAGTGTATGCTACTAGCATATTTGCCAGCGGGGTCTCAATGATCTTGAGAAAGCAAAAGAATTGTTGTAAGCTGACTATATGAAGCAACTTGTCTAACCTGTCACTTAAAGCAGTTGAGAAAGCAAAGAATTGTATTCTGTAGGAGAGTATCTACCTATGTAACTCTGCACTTAAAGCATACAGAAAGATCTCATTCTCAGGGTGAAAGACTCAGACCTGAGATGGCCTGTGACAACTCAATTCTCTTGCCAGTGTCACTAATTATAAAGCACTCTCCTGATTTGATTGGATGCAAATAGCCTGGCGAAGTAAAAGAGAGCCATGATCATTATAGGAATAAACTATATGAATACTTAAGCAGAACATTGAATGAAAAGATATATTGGAGCAACGCTTCTAAAAGAAGGAGTAAGAAGCATTTCTGGCAAGCCACAGAAACTAAGGAAGCAAAAGACATGTTACAACACTTTAAATCTTTCTTTGTCCTCATCTGCACAAGATCATTAATTAACATGAGCCCTGGGTTTAAAAATTGCAGGCTTTTCTTCCAATACGATGGAGAAAGACATAAACCAGACTCATTGACTGTCTAGCTGGTTTTGCATTTAATTTTCCCACCAATTTTGTTGCATTAAAAAAAAAAAAAAGAACCCAAAACTTCCTAAGCTAGAAATTGTAAGCAAACCTATACAACTAGTAGCAAATAAAACCCATCATGTAAATGTGATGAAACTGATACTTTGAACATTGTCATTTAGGTAGCTCCCAACTGTAAGTTCCCTTAGTTTATTCTTTTCCTTTGGATTTTTTTTTTTGTTTGTCAGTTTGTTTTAACAACCCCCTTCCCAAATTTTACTGTCAGTTTGCTTTCCTTGAAAAAATTCTGCCACACAGATCTCAGAAGTACTTATCCTTATTTGCTGCAGAGCAAAAGTTCACCTACACATTTCCACAGAATGGCTTTCATAGGTAGCTCACAACTACAGTGAGCATACCTTATGTTCCACTCTTCTTGGTGTTGACTGCTCCGACAGTCAGCAGTTGATGCCCTGATAAGTTATTGCCCCATGGATGAATAGTTTATACAAGAATGGTTCAATCCAGCCTTTAATCTTATCTGGTAGTTACTCATGTAACCCCGATACACTTTATGTATAATTTATCATGATTCAGCATGGCTACCACCAGGACATTCAAACTCTTTATCTCAAATTACTCTTTCTTTTAGAAGACGGTATGAAAGGGTGCATCGAGAAGCTGGCATATTTTATACTGAATTGCATCCCATGTTTTCATTTCTAGGGGTCAATCCCAATAAGCATCTGTGAATGCAGGCAAATCTCACTGCAGACAGGATTAAGAAAAACTGACTGTTGGGGCCTACTGCTGATGAGAAAAAAATATCCATTTCCCCTGCCATACACTAGAAGAAAGGTGCTGCCATAATACATCACTCTTGGCTTCATAAGGCAGAGGGAGAAAAAAAAAAAGCTGATGGTTTGCCATCCAGTAAGGGACAAGACGCTCTCTCTGTCTTCAGCAAGTAGCAGTAGGAAGGACAAACACCGCAGCAAAGCCAAGAAAGTCACAGTGCAGTTTACCAGCTTCCTGAGGCATTTTAGTATTGCTCACCTCAGTAGTCTAATCTTTCATTTTCAGCTGATAAGAGAGGATACTGTCTTTAAAACATAAGTTATGCTATACGTCCCTTATGCCCCATACTGTGCAAGGAATTTTGCTTTTAAGGCTCTCTGCATTACTATAACATTGAAGGCCTTGAAAACAAATAGAGGCAGAAGCTGTAAAAAGAAAAAATACTTTCTCGAGCCATATCTTAGAAATAAGCAGATTCTCCACAGGTGTCATACTAATCAAATAAACTTCCTCAGTGGTTTCAAGGAACACTTTTCACTCTTCATTTGCCACAGGCTAGGAGACAGCCTTTGCACTCAGTTAATCTCAGCAGACACTAATTTAATCATTCACCAGCACGTGAATACATCCTTGTTCTTTGATAGTCCATGATTTGTGTATGGGGGAGGATAAAGGACCAGAGAGATGTGGCACCATGGAAGTATCAGTATGATGCTGTTCAACCCTCCACATACCTATATGACATTTGACTTGACAACTGACAGTCACTACCACGAACAAGAACCACAACTGCCTCCCAGACTGTCATCCTTCAGGATTACGTTGCCACCTGACATCACAAACTTGAGGTAAATGGTTGTATTCCTTGAAAAATCACAGGATCATGGGACATCCCAGACTGGTGGAGACCTGGGAAGGTCTCCAGCCCCAGCCCCTGACCAGGGAAGGCTCAGGCATGGGATCAAACTCAGCTGTTCAGGGCTTTACAAAGTCAGGGCATGAAACCCCTCGAGGATGGAGATGGCGCAGCTTCCCTGGGTCCCAGCTCCACTGCTGGGCTGTCCTCATGAGGATAAGACTTTCCAAATCAAGTCTTCATCTTTCAAAGACTTTCAGAACATCGTCATGATAGGAAAGTATTCATGTAACAAAAGAGCAAGATACCGCACTCTCTTCCAAAGCAAATAACATGATCAGCAAAAATCCATAAAGCAAATAAATAAATAATTTTATCTGTGTACTT